CGCTGCTGATGCTGCTGCTGCTGCCGGGGAGCGGCGAGGCGGCGGCGGGCAGCGGGGTGGCGGGCGGCGGCACCAGGGGCTTGCTGATGCTGCTGCTGTCCTCCTCCTCTTCCTCCTCCTCCTCCTCTTCCTCGGCGCTGCTGTGAGGGCTGCGAGGGCGGCGGGCCCGCTCTGAGCCCGAGCTCGACCCCGAGCCCCGCCGGCTGCCGCCGCTGCTGGAGCCCCTCTGGAAGAGGGGCTGCCGGTCGGCGGCGTGCGGCGGCAGCGGCGGCGGCGGCGGCGAGGTCCCGGGCCAGCGGCACCGCCGGCGCCTGGGGCTGGGGGAGAGGCTGCGCTGCCGGGGGAGGGGAGGAGGGGGGCGAGGACGGGAGGGTGAGGAAGGCGCCCCCGCCCTGTCCCCGGGGATGCTCCCCTTCCGCATCCCGGGGAGCGTCCTGCCTCCTGCCCCGCGGGAGCCCCGCGCCCGGGCCGGTAGCCCACGGCCGTGCCACAGCACCGCGGCAGCCGCTCCGTAACATCGGAAGTGCTTCAGTGTCCCCTGGCCTCTCCAGGCTGGCCAAGACAAAGAGCAGTTGGCCTGGCACGGAGCCTACAGTGAAGCGCTCATTTGTGGCTCATCTGTGCTGCTGGACATTCATCTGCCCCTACATTTGGTCTGGTGTGTTTGTTCATCAAAGAAAGTGTCTTTTATCCCACCAGTTTTCTGAGTTGAGGCAATCCACGTGCTGAGGGCCCTGCCCAGTTTGCCATGATGGGACACAGCCTTTGAATTGATATGAATAGCTCTGGAGTTCTTCTACTGAAAGCAGCAATCGAGACCTTTATTGGCCCACTATTAATGGCCTCGAATTGAGCTTAATAGCTGTTTGCATCTGTTTATCACCAGCTCTAATGGCTTGGCATGCTCCAGAGTGCCTTGGTGCTCAGCATCACCAGTTCCTCATCTGTACCTGTGCCCACCAGTGATGAGCCAGGTGCTGCCTGACAGTGATGTGGAGCACAGCAAATAAACTGTCTCCACAAATGTCTGCATTAACTACACTTTGCCATAAAGATCCAAAATAGCTTCACGTTTCCAGCGTGTTGCTGAATCAACACATGGCAATGAGCAAATGCTGCTTAGTGCTGGGAAAGGACAGCCAGGACAGCAGTGACAACCATCTAATACATGTTGCAGGCTCCCTGAGGAGCCCTGCTGTCCCTGGCTGCTCTTGGCTACAAGGAGAAAGCAGTCTGGGGTATAAGGAGAATTCATGCTTAAACTTGAAGCAAAGAGATAACTGAGTAAGGGAAAGGGAGAACTTGGAGTGGATGGACACAAAGATTTCTTTGGGTGCACAGCATCAGGAGTACAAGCAGGGGAAGACAAACAGTCACAGCAAAAGCATTGCTGTCAGTGGAGACTGGAGCGAGGGGGAGCAGATAAATTCATTTTCTAAAAGCATGGTCAGAACAGAGGGGAAAAGAGAAGGTAACTGGAGGCTATGCAAGCTTTAATTTGGGCAGCATGGGAGTGAAATGGTACCACATCTAGGGACTGCAGCAAGAAGCTGTTCCCATTGTCCCCATACAGGTTGCTACCCTGCTCCTAAATCCAAGCTGCTGCATCCCTGCTGCCACACCCTGCTTGGCTGGGCTGCAGCTCAGAGAGGGGACATCTCTTTTCTGCACAAAGACTTCACTGAAGGCTCTGTGGTCGGGGTCTGTTTGATAGGAAGCAGGAGGCTGGGGTACATGGCCAAGGAGGACGATTGCTCTCTCTGGTGCTCTTTCATGTTCCTTGGCAGGTGTTGGGAGCTGCCCAGCTCAGGACAGCTCAGAGTGGTGTGAATGACACCAGCTGTGCTTCCTCATTTGGTTTCCACAGAAAGGCTGGGTTGGATAGCAGTGTAAGTCTGTGTGGCCCGTGGCAGAAGGTAAAACCACATTTTATGCTCTGCATCCTGGCTTTTATCCAAGGTGCATGGGCTCCTTCACCTGACTCTTCTCAGGTAAGCCATGATTCATGTGTGGTCAGCCCTCAGCATAAGTGAAATTGGTCTTGCTCTTGCCACATTCTGCTGCAAGGGGAGTTTTCCACTTCTACAAGAGGATGTGGAGTGAAAACCAAGCATCCATCTGGGCTGCTCAGGGCACCAGCCTTCATGCAGAGAGGGCTGGTTCTGCCCTGCCTGGGCAGCAGACAGTGACAGCTTTGCCTCATTGGCTCTGGGTTTCCTGAGCAATGCAATTCCCTGTGTGCCATAGGCTGGCCATGCTCACTGAGCTGCCCTGGCAGCCTGCCACAGGCACTCACACCTCTGCTTTTGATCCAGGCACTCGTTTCACAAAGAATCCTCATTCCCCAAAGCTTTGGGTGGCTGGCTGGTGTCCCACCTGCTGGGGTGAAGGGAATTGGGTGGGAATCCCTGGGCTTTGGGAGGGGGTGGGCTGTCACCACAGCTGGTGTGCAGGCCTGGGAGATGAGCTCTGACCCTGCCACCAGGTGATGTGGGGAGCTGGGAGCAGGGAATTGAGGGAGCTGGGAGCTCAGGGGGCCTGCTGGGTTGAGGCTGTGTGAGCACAGCAAGAGCAGGCTCCTGGAAATGCTTCTCCAGACACCACAGGATAACTGCTGGGGCTGTGAAGGTTCCTGCATCCAAGGTAAGTAGGTGGGAACAGGGAGGACCTGTGGGAAGGGGCCACAGCAAGGGCAGCTATGAAAAGGAATGGGGGAATACCAGGTAGGAGGGTGGAAGCTCGAGGGCTTCCTTGGGCTGAGCATGGGCTCCAGCAGTGCAAACACAATAAAAAGAGGTGAGGATAGGAAAGGAGCTTATTTGTAGGAAAGGAAGCAGAAATTGTGCCTCTGCTTTAAAATGGGAATGAGGGGAAAAATGACTTCTACTCGAGAAAGCACTGGAGAGCTTTTTGTAGCACACTGTAGGATGAGATATGACAAGATGATGCTTCCCATGTGATCCAGTTATTGAATACAATGTGCAGTCCTTGGATGTGTTAGTGCTTAACCATTGCTGTTAAAACATTAAAAAGCTAAACTATAAATAGATTCTACTCTTTAGTAGCTCCCAAGCTATGTTTTTGGCTTTTTTATGTATTGATGTGTATGCACAGATATGTGTGTGTATGCATATATTTAAAGACAAACAGCAGACAGAGTTTTGTGTAATAGTCATACTGAATATCTAAAATGCTACCATTTTTAGTTTACACTGCAAGTGGAAGCAAGTGTGCCCTCAAAAATACCCCTGCTGGGGGAAGGCAAAACTTTCTTGAGGGCTGAACTTGGGAGGAAACAAAATAATGACTCAATTTCTTGGGGGAAGGGGAAAAAAAAGAAAAGAAAAACAGGGCAGATATAAGCCTGAAAGACCAGAAACTAGATACCTAATTATACCCTGCAGTAAGCTGTCAGAAACTGGCAGCAGTGGGAGGGAAAGAGGCAAAGCTGATCTCAGGGAGTTGGAGCATAATCTGCTCCAACCATACTTAAAATGCCTTTTGTGTGGGAAAGGAAGCTTCTGGGATTCTCTGACACACACTTTGTGCTGCACTTATCTAACCCATTCAAATGGCCAGGGCTGAAGTGACAGATAAGTGTAAAAAAGCTTCACCTGGCCAGGACCAAAATTCAACGATGCCTTGGCTTCCGAAGGCAGCCTGTGTAACTGAACTGCTGATCCCGTGTTATGGCTCAGGGAATGCAGATCCTCTTCAAAAGGATATTGAACTGTTAACAGACTATTGCTTGTAATTACATTTCGGTTCAAAGAGCTTTCAATGACAGCAGAAAGTACCAAGACATTTCTTTTCATGCTTGTAGCAGGGTAGGAGCTTGGAGAGTGGATTTGGGTTTGCTTTTGGTATTTTCTTTGCTCAGTCTTAGCATTGAGCATCTATTGATCTGACTTGGAGGAGAAAGGGAAAGCTCTTCATAGTTTAGATGACTGAAAAGTAGGTGTGTTATAGTGAAGGAAGAGAAGTGTTTCCTTGATGGAGGTTTGGTTCCTAGAGAACACATCATTGCCCTGCTGGTGCAGGGTTTTAAACTGCTGTAGACTGGATCTATGAAGGTCTGTAAGTGCATAGTGTTCATCAAATTAACTGCAGCAGTAAAAAAAAAACCCCATAAAGATTTGTGCTTTTATAACTGGGGTTAGGAAGGGCTGGCAATGGAAGGGTTTGAACAGCCCCCTAAAGGTACCAGGGCAAGCAGGGACCAAGCACTTCCCAAGGGTTACCCTGGCAGGCATTTCTCACAGCATTCCCCTGGGAGCAAACTCAATCCTCAGTCCTTTTGTTCAAGTTGGTCCCTCTCCAGTGTTTAACTCTGCACCTTAGGCTGGGTAAGGATTTCTATGGGACTCCAACTTCCAGCTCAGCCTCTCCTACAAGGGACACCTTAACCCCAGGCTGCTCTGACAGTAGTGATTAAAAGCATGCACATGGGAGTTTCAGCTTGTGATCTCTCCCTGCTTAACTAAACCTTGATTAGCCCCATCTCGGGTGAGTGCTCCAACTACCAGAGTGCTGGATAAAAGGAGAAGGCTGATTAACACTTTTTATGATTATTTACTAGAGGTTGGGGCTGTAGGTGACTTCTCTAGGATGTAGAATATAATTCAACTCCTCTGTCTGCTAGGATTAGGAATCCTTGTCCAATTCCTCCAAAACTGCTTTACTGATTTTTGCTTTCAACATCAAGTTCTCAGGACTCTGCATCACACTTGTTTTGCTTCCTGTGAGCTGTGAACTTTGTAGATGAGAAACTTTCTGATAAAATATAAAAACAGTGCAAGTGGATTGGCTGTTTCTAGATTATTAAAGATGATGGTTTCACCCAGTAGGATCTTGAATTTTCCACTGAAATCAGGGGAAGCTTTTGGTTCTGGTCTGAAAGTTTGCCAGTTAATTGCTGAAGGGGTATCTTTCAGGGTGGTTCTCCCTCAAGAAAATTTGGTAATAGCTTGAAGAACAGGAAAAAAGAAAGAAAAAGCAAACAGAATTTGCCCTAATCATCTTATAGGGCAAAGATGTGAAAGAGAGCAGGATAATACCCACTAAAAGTACACACAGGAAGTTAAAATTAATTTCAAAGAAAACATATTTTATTATTTTACATATGTGGTTGAACAAAGCAGCAACTCTGTAACTGCATTGAAATTAATATGAAATCTAAAATAATCACAGTTTGTAATTTCTCTGAATGATATATAATCACTCTTCTACAGTGCACATGACACAATCTGGAAGATTACCATTTCTTGGAGGGGGAAAGACATGGCAGGATTAGGACTGGAAGGAAGGGGTCAGCAGTGTTATCTGATGCCCTGAATGCCAGGTTAGCAGTTGCATGTGTCCTGTGGAATAAAGGAATTGACTTCTCTGGCCACCATGTTATTGCATGCCATAAAAGCTCTT